TCAAAAGCGGCCAAACGGACGGAAGTACTGCGATAGACAATCCTTCCAACCAATAGGAATCCGGCCTGGGTAGGCAGATGTGTGGTGTTTACCAATGACAACAATAATAAAAATAGCCGTAGAAATAGAGCTCGGTTGCAGCGCAGGCTGACACGCAGATGGATGGAGAGATGTAAAAAGCGGTGCAGTGATTTCAGGGAGGGGACTTTGATTTACACAAGACCAGAGGAAGAACATATGTTACATTTATCCTGTCTCTGCTCAACCTTCAATTCTTTCTCTAAACTGACAGAAGAGCAGCTGTAATGTTTATTATAAAATAAGTCTTATAATAGATGATACCACCAAACTTCAAAGTATACATCATGAATAATTAGTTTCAAGCCAAACATGTGGACTGTTTTGGTAGACCCTTAAAAAATGTCAACTTCTTAAACCCTTAGTGACTTATTTTCTGGCCACTTGGGGGCAGCAGAAACAAGCTGTAAACAGTGACATTATATCACCTTATAGAGCACCAAATGTCTAGACCACAAGCATCATGTCAATGTTGTGTTTGATACTGAAGTGTCAGTCTATACAAAAATATTTAAGCCAAAGCATCTAGACTGCCCCCTGGTGGCTGGTTGCAGTATAGGTCATAAACCCGTCAAAAAATTACACATCAAATTAAAATTTCACAAAGATAGTTTCTGGCAGTTTAGGTAGTTCTTAACACACTGGTGTATGTTCAAGTGTTCATTTTTCTAATATATTTGGTTTTAATTAGTTAGTTGATGCTACTAAAATGGGGTTTTACATCATATTTGACAGCTGAGTACTGCTTGCGATTGAGTCAGCCGGCTGACTGGCTCCAAATTACATCGCAGTGCAACATGGCAACACCTGTAGCAGGGATATTTTGGCTGACATTCTAGATATGCCATTGTTTATTGTCCACAATACAGGTGTAAAATCAATAAAAAGATTCAAGAAGATATTTTGGCTTCATTTTTGTGCAGTGGAAGGGAGGGAAGACGTGTCGTCCCTCTATATATGCCTATGGTCTATGGTCTATAGCGGTTCACATGGTTTGATGAGTATAAAAAGGATGTGACTCATATGCTGTGGCCTTCACAGTCACCATCTCAACCCCAATATGCCATAATGTTATGGGGCTACAGCAGTGCAAGTGATGTCAGGTGAATCGATCACTGATTCTCAAATTGGCATCATTGAGGGGGCTCAATGCGGTGCCAAGCAGTACTATATATTTGGTTGAGGTTTAAAAGATGTCCCTTCAGTACCTCTTAACCTAGGGTGTGGGGACACCAGGGGTCCTTGAGGGGGTACCCAGAAAAATGGGGAATATTTTAGTTTCACTATCATTTCATTGACTAGAGGTTATCACAGTGAGAGAATGTATAAGAATGATTATTCTGTTCATAGCTTTCACTCTCTTCACTTAATCTGCCAATCTACAGTATCAACAGTTATGGAATAACTCAATCTTATCAGACAGGGACCTTGAGACCGCTGCCTGATGTGTATACATTTGGGTGTCCACCAAGAAGGTTCAGAATCACTGCAATACAGTATATTATATAACATATGTAATACCACATACCAACATATCAATAAGTAGTCCTATGTAGGCCCAAAGGGAACTCCCTTTGAACCTATATATCATTTTTTCACATGTGAAAAGCTGTTTCACATCTTGTGAATTTCTCATGTGTAAAAGGACCAAATGTGAGAATTAAAGACGCATGAAGTAACACGTTTCTGAATTTGGGAACAGTTGTTTGAAAATCTTGAAAACTAAAGGTACACTTAAAAGCTTTTTTCTGACCACATCTTATAGTCTTAAGGAGTTTGCTAAGTTGTCATGGTATCACCTGACCAAAGTCCCATGGGTCATGTGATGATAACTGAGCTATCAAACCAAGTGTGCAAACTTTATCCACTGATGAAGACCATGAGATATAGTTGAAAGCGTTAGAGAAAAGTTCGTAAGTGGACCTTGATTTAAGATTTGAAAACCTGTCCTGTAACTGGCCTCCAGAACTGTATATATTTATATCATAATAAATAGTTTGGCATATTGTTACTGCAATCATGTAGATATCATGTAGATGTCTTTAGTAAACCAACACTGACCGTGTGTGTGTAGGCTACCGCATGAATCCGGTTCCGTGCAGGGATCCATGCAGCCAGGGTTTCCGTGCAGCGGGTTAGTTTACTAACTGTAGTACAGCGGCCACCACGCTGCGAGCTCAGTGTATGGAGGTCGTGTTAAATAATACATGTGAAGTCACTCAGACTGTGTTGACACTGCCACAGAGGCTCACTGTGATTTTCACTGAGCCACAGTCTGTCAGTGTTGCGCTGCTCATTAACGCTGCACCAATATGAAAGCAACCGTGTTGCACTGAAGAGCCACGCGCCACGCCACACGTGTACCCTGACAATGACGTAATCATATCTCACTGAGCTGCATTCAGGACTGATACAGTGTACAGCAGGGTTATGAATTACTATGTCTATGTCGATACAGTTTACCAAAAAAAAATGATTCTATGTTTGGGTCATAATTATAATCACAGTGATGTGTAAGAGAGTTATTATTGTAACTTTTGCAAAAGTATATAAAATACTGGTAAAATAATCTCAACTCAAGGGCCCATACTAGCTTTTTTTTTCAACCTTATTTTATGGCCTTCACCAGTGAGTTTGTTCAGCTGATAATATAAAATACATTATAAGTTATAAGATAATATATATTAATATACAGGTCATATATAGGCTAATATGTTATATAACATAATGTTTAATATAATAGACTAAATTCCATTTGTTGATGAAGGCCATGAGATGAGGTCAAAAGCTCGAGAGAAAGGTATAAATGGATTTAAATGATTTACTCTACTCTCTGTATCATCATAATTCCTGTTACTACTTCTTTATGACAGAGCGTTCCCTTTATTTTATACTTATTACATTCATTGCCTATGGACATGAGGCTATGTATATTTTTCAGTGTATTTATTTTGTATTATTATTATTTTCCTATTTATTCATTCATATTTTGCTGTGGGTGGGATTGGGAGGGGAGCTGGGAAATGTAAATCACTTGTTTATTTTGCCTAAAACAATACAAATATTATTGAAAATTGTTTTTGATTAATATTATTTTCTCAAACTACTGTTCAAAAATGTATTAACTGACATTCTATTTTTATTATGCTTATTCGTCTTCATAAAAACAACAGTGTTCAAGCACAAAAAAACACAAGGCAGATCTAGAGGGGTGGCATGGGGTGGGAGCTGCCACCCCTAAAAAATGCCTGGCTACCCCAACTGCCAGGTTGGTGTTAAATTGAACACATTAATTTAGATTCATTTTAAAAATCAACATGTTTGTGATTAATTCAGCATATATTTCTGCCCCCCTCTGGCCACACCATGAACATTTCTCTAGATCTGCTCCAGGAAATCACATTTAAAACAAACATTTAGTGAGTCACATAATTAAACATCATTCAAATATTTTAGATTAGAAACTTCATTCTGCATGATGTGGAAAATTGTCCATGGCTGGTATCCACAGTCAATATGGATTACAAATAAGACGTGTAAAAAAGCAACAGTTATCTTAACTTATTAACTAATTTATTAAATTATTACTTTTAATGTCAAATGTTTGAGTTCTGTGTTGCTGATACATTTAATATTAATCCTAGTAAATATGTATGTAGGCAGTGTTTACTGAATTTCTTCATAGGTTAAAGTATGGTCAATTATAATGTGCATATTTAAACAAATGGACCTTAGGCCAGATCAAACAACACACAAAAGCCTTCATGTATTACCGTTACCCTAATGGAACCACCTCCAATGAAAAAGATTTAGATGATGATGATGATGATGATTATTATTATTATTATTATTATTATTATTATTATTATTATAAGTAGTAGTAGTAGTAGTAGTAGTAGTAGTAGTAGTAGTAGTAATGGTATTAACAGCAGTAGTAGTGCCATGAGCAGACCTCAGCTGCAGTGAAACATCAGTCCAGTGCTGCCACCTGCTGGTCTTTGTATTGCCATGCAGGGAGGTCTGGGTTTTACTTGGCTATGATCACTGCTTGTGTACTGTTACCAGCACTGTATGTTTATAGAGGTGTTTAGGTACTCTATTACTAACTCTAAATCTGATTAACAGCATGTGGATTCATTCACAATATTCCATATCATCAAAAGTTAAATGCTGTATTATTGTTCTATTTGGCAGCTATGCAACACATCTGCATGTCCTCAAAATGAATCATGCAAACACTTGATTTGAAGCTTGTCGGTAGCAGAGGTGAGGATAGAAGTGTGGCACAGGGGGTGTGGAATCTGATGGGGCTCCCTTGGGGTCCTCTCTACCAGGGTAAGAAGGCGGTAGGTAGGTGACCTTTTAGTATTGCAAAACAACCACAAAGTGATGCAAAAGACCATAAAGTGACAGGAAACAGCCACAATTACATGCCTGTGTCTAGGTGTCCCCTTGTCTCATAATCCGTCTATATCCGTTGGCTACTTGCATTTACAATAGCAACTATTTATGGATATTATTTCATACTGGAAGAGTTAATGTTATTTATTTGACATTAATTTATTGCAATGAATAAATATTGAATATTGTGATAGTTACTTCGCTGAGAAGAACCAGGAAGCTATAGACTCTACCAGTGGTGGAAAGTAACTATGTACTAATATTCTGAGTTTATAACTGGTTATGAAACAACCTCAATTCAACATGATGCCTCTATAGGACCTACATTAACAAAGAAGACCATCAGTGAGAAGATTGGCTCTTTCTATATAGTTATTTTTAATGCCTCACTTCTAATCTTTGCCAGGTTATGAGTGGAGTCTTGGATAATGTGTCCTCTTTGGGCCCTTAAACATTTTAATGAGATACATGAGATGTTTTGGGTTGAAATGTATTTTTGGTGGAACAACAAACAACTCATAAACAGACCCCAAAGTGCTTTATTGTAAGGGATTTGGGAACCACTGCTATAACAATGCCTTATATTTCATAAGCTTATAATTGTTTTAAATGTAAAATCTTAATCTGAAAAGTAATTAAGCTACAGCTGTCAAGTAGATGTAGTGAAGTACAATATTTAGCACTGAGATGTAGTGGAGCAGAGGCATAAAGTAGCAAAAAGGCCCCTAAAAATTGTACTACAGTACATGAATACTTTCCACTACTGTCAGAGGGAAATATTGTACTTTTTACTCCACTACATTTATCTCACAGCTATAGTTACTAGGTATGTTTTAGATTAAAGGTTTTATGCAAAAGATTTAACTTCCTCTAACACTGGACTCCATCACATCAAATGCCAGCACGCTGCTGCTGCTACGGTGTGATGTGCTGGCTGGAGCCACAACAACCAAACACTACACTGACAGGCCCTGCAGAACTTAATCCCTGTGCCCTTTGTCACCACAGCACTGAGTCAAACAGTGTCATGTTCCAGTGATCCAGAGCAGGTGTAGGAGTGTGTTTGCATGTGCACGCTGGCCATGCACTGTAAAGCAGGCTGGCAATAGCTAATAGAAAGACACGTTAGGTGTGAGGTGGAACCTGAAGCCCCAGAGACGGAGGGATTGTGACACATAAGAATCACCTGTCGACCAGCTCAAAGTAATTCTTATGGAGCTGTTTGAGCCGTTAGGGTGCAGTTATGAATTAGTAATGGTTGGCTGACACATTTTCCCTTATATTCCCCTTGTGCAAGGCTAAATAGCTGCGTGGGCCCACACCTTGAAAAACACTGCAGCTTTTAGAAAGAGGCTGTGAAGAGTAAACATGGGTTATGCAAAGAGTTTTAAAATGCAATTAACAGTAACTACTTTTTGAAATCTCTATTATTCTCTTAAATCAAACATATCATATCAAATAAATCACGTGTATATGTAAAGACAATAAACAATTACAAGTGTAACTTTCTTTAGAAAATGGTTAGAATCCTTTGTTTTCTCCTTTGTCTCTTTGTTTGTCTTGTTGTTGAAGCTCTATTCTTGTGGCTACTGTTGCTAAGCCTGAGGATTATTCTGTCTTGTGTTGAGCTTAAATATCAGCCCCACTGTAAATAGGGTGTGTCTAAGTAACAGAGAAACAAGTTGTGCCACATACTTGAGGAAAAAGATTATACAAGAGTACACATCACAAATCTGTGCAAATAGCTTCCAAAAGCTCATTTCCACCATATTTTTTTGTCATTATAATATTTTATAAACAGGGGAAAGAAAATCCCCCCTCCTCCTTGTACAGAAACTCATTCTTGTAAAATGAGAGCTCTTCCTGCCCCAGCTAATGGACCCAGTTTGACTGGTTTCTGTTGAATGGATTGAATGACCAATACTCAGATTTCACAACAGGAAAATCACCACAGAGACCGGTCAGGAACAATGGCCTTAGGAAGAAATTGATAAAAAAGAAAGGGTGTAAATAGATGATAAATGGTGTCATCAAAAAAGAGAGGAAGTTGTGCAACTGGAGGACAGAGTTTTTGGTCCTGATTTTAAGGTTAGAGTGAGACATCATAAGAATGTCCAAAATCCACATGATCTGAAATGAAATAAACAAAATGTATGCTATTAAACACAGAATTTACAGCGTACAGTCTGAGCAGAGGTGAGGCAATAGGGATGTAATGGTTGCCTCCCTCTAATCTGATCAACCAACCCCTTTCTTGTTGGACAGTCAATCACATGACTACAAAGAAGTAAAAACCTACAAAGAGACACATAACAGCAAAAAGAGATGCTCTAGACTACAAAGAGATTCCAAACGACTTCAAATAAATGTACTATGACTACAAAGAAACACAAAACAACTAAAAACAGACATAACAACTACAAAGAGACACATAAAAAAAAAGATGTGTGAGGCTACAAAAATGACAAAAACATTAACATTAACAACTACAAGGAGAAGCTCTAGTCTACAAAGAGATTCAAAACAACTACAAAGAGGTACAACATGACCATAAAAAGGCTGTGGCAACTTAGAAATGGCAGCTATTTCTTGTTATTTAAAGTTGTTTATTTGGCATTCATTTATTGCACTGAATAATGAAAGAACAGTGTAACTATTATTAATGTACAGTTTGTTGTTAAACCAATGTGAAACTTTTACTAGTTTCACAAATGTCCAACAGTCTAGACCCACCATTCAAAAGTTTCTCAACCTGTCCCTGAGTCTGAGGTGTCACCTTTCAGGTTAGAGTTCCATATTTGTCCTTTGAGAGTAAAGTCCCATGTTTCTTTGGGTGGTGAGGCAAATATACAAACAGCTACCAGTGAGATGGGGTGGAACCTTTTCACCCTACAGAGAAAGGAACAAAGCTTTGTTAAAGGAAAATCCTTTACTTCACAACATGTCCTGGGTGTGTTATGCTTTAAATGTAAAGATCTGCACCTGTTGCTGTAGCTTGGGATTCATTTTCCAGCACCAGTTGCCAGACAACTGTTTTGTGCTGCAAATGAAGAAGCCATAAATCTCATTTGGGGAGCAGCTCCTCCATCGGCAACTCCAGGTTTCCCAGGTACCAGAAGATCCAGAACACCAGGCTGAGGAAGATAATGAGGGATCCGGAGAAGACAAAGACATCCCAGAAGCTGAGAGGAGCAAAGACCCCAATGAAGAAGAGGATGAGGCCTGCTGCATCCAGGAGGATGGCGATGATGAAAAACAGCAGGCAGCGGCCGAGATAGGCGGTACAATCCATGACAGGAGTAGTTGACTGTGCTCACAGTTTCAGTAATTATTCACAGCTTTACAAGTTTATCTGTGTGACATGTGGAAAATGTTAGGAGGGAAATAAATTCAGAAGAAATGCTTCTTCCCGTCTCAGTGCCGCCTGCGAGTCTGCAGAGAGACTGATGAGAAGGAAGAGTTTAAACACTCAGGTCACATTCCTTCCTGTATCTACATCTCACATTTTTTTCATGACGCGCTCTGACAGAGGAAAAATATGTTTCCTTAATGATGACAAGAGATTTTCTGGCTCTATCGTTGGATGTGGCTTCATTTCATAAACGTGTTACATTCGGGCAACAGATCCAGGCCTTATCTCGGGCCCACAGGTGGATGTGGAAAAGCTAGAAATATTGGACTGGTACTTTTGGCCTTGATGATTTGGAATAAAATACTGGGAGAATACCTACTGTGCTGTTTACACCTTTCAAAAAGTAACATTAAAAATGCGATGATGAGAGAAATATCTGTTTCCTGTGTGGCTTATAAAAATTATTAAACAACAAAGGCAGAACCCAGTCAAGGAAGAGAAGATAAGAAAAACTGTCCCTTGCGCAACTCATGGGCGTCACTGTGTTATCTGACATCAAACAGTGTCAGTCACCTGTATGCAATACCAACCCTTAAATACACTAAAAACAAACAACTACATCCAATGACATATACAACTTTATTCCCAGGAAAAATAATTTACATTTGTCACAAAATCGGCACATACAAATAAAAAATTGCTATGTACAGTACATGTTAAAGACCTTTTCTTCCTCTGTGCACAGCCCTTCTGCCTACAGTGGATGCAGGGCTTTTCCCTGATTAAGAAATTGTCTTCCCCATTTAAAAAAAGTGACTTTAGTTCATAAGCTCAGTGTTTTCAGTCTGTTGGAAAGCAGCACGCGGAGGGAGTCTGTCCTTCAGCACCAGGAAAGCCGGACGTCACCTGAAAAGAAGGAAAAGGAGGGTTTTATATATTTGTACAGGTTAAAATTAACAAATGACATTCAAAATGTTGAAATGAATGTGAAGGGAGGTGAAAAACACAATTTGAAACATGAGTTAAAGTCTCTGATTAATATGCTCTGTCAGACTTGAGGGAAGATGTAATTTCATTTAGGAACCCTGTATTTTATTGAAACATTGCCTCTGCTTGTGAGATGTTTGGGAAGATGAAGAGAAGATGATTATCTGGTAGAGTGAATCTGTTAATGCCTTTTTAAATTAACACATTAAACGATGTGGAAGATTTCCCTCTTCAGATATAATATGAATAACATTAAAAACATACATTTTAAGAAGTTGACTGTCCGTTGAAGGAAATGGGTAGCAAATTTAATAACATTTGTGGAAATGGAATTTGGGGGTTTTTTGAAAATGTACTATGTTGTTGTATGAGAAGTAAAAATAAATGAAGAACAATAAATGGTATAAAAGAAATAGTTTTGTCTATTACTTACTTTCCTAAATATACAGTTTTTTATTGACATAATCCATGTGTTCTCTCTAACTCAAGTAACAATATATGGACCAAACAGATACACAGAGAGTTAGCTTCTTCGGTCAAGTGTGAAGATTTGAGTGTCAACCAGAAAATGTGTGAGCTACAAAATTTACAAAAGCACAATGTAATATTTTCAGAATTCTTTGACCAACAGTACAAATATATTCACTTAATTTTCACAAAAGACACAGAAAAACAGCAAATTCAACAACTGAGAAGCTGTAAGTAGGAAATGATCGGAAAAAAGACTTGGGCAATTAAACAACTCTAGTTATCTCAACATTACGAAACTATATTTATATTTTTATATAAATATATATATTTATATATATTTATTATACAATTCTCTGTATTAAAAGCCGTTAAAGCCATGTGGAGGGAATGGTCTTTAATAGAAAATATTAAAAAACCATTAGTATTTCATGCAAGTATGGAGCTGAAGTCAGGACTTGGGGTCTTACTGGAAACAGCATCAAGCTAAATAAATACACCTACCAACAAAATTCACTAAAATTCACTAATCAATATTTTGCATTGCTTGATCCATACACAAATAGAAATGTTTAAAACAATTTGTAGTTTACACTCAACTTTATCCATCTGCTAAATATTGTTCCATGCATCCAACCCATCATCTAACACCACCTAAAACCACAAATTGTCACTTACGGTACATGTAGGCTACTTAAAGCTAGGTTAATCGCCATATTTAACAAACAGACATGCGCGCAGCATCAATCTTCTGATATGAAACACTAACACTTCCCCCTCCTTATGTTGACATTACACAGCAACATGAATACATGTGCAGATAAGGCAATCATCACTTAAACCTGAGCCTCCCTCTCTGTTACCCAACTGTTTATGGCCTCACTTGTAATTGTTGGGAAATTCTTGTTACACCTGAGCAGCACTGTTCCAACAGTTATCCACACAAGCCACTGTCAAATGTGACTGATAAACATCTCACCTTATGACTCATGATGTAGATAGGCAGGTTGTGCTATAACAGTAATGTTGTCCTTAGGTGGAGGCCCTAACCCTGAGTTCATTGGAGCAACGTCCAGTAATAAAACCTTTAATAGACAAAGCTTTCAGTCAGGCTTGTATTCAGGATTTTAGAAACACAAACAGGTCCAATTTCCCCAGTGTTTTCCAATTCCATACTGCAGTCTAATTCTAAGCAGGTTTTGTGTATGTATTGTGTTGTGTTTGTGTGTGAATCCAAGTTGATCACTAAAAAAAGAGTTTGGTGTTAACTGTTAATTAAGGCAAAGAGAAATTGCAGATTGTGGTGAGACAACTTCAGAAAAATCTTTGGAAAAAAAGCTTGCTTGTCGAGTGTTATTCTAAAAGTTGCTATCTGATTAATGTTGTACAGTACACACACACACACACACACACAGTTTAATTTTTGGTTGGTATAAAAAGTGTTAATTTCTTCTATTATAACTGCAGATTGCAGATTGTAACTCACTCCCTTCACCCTCCCTTTCCAAGCCAAAATGGAAACTACGGTGTGCAAGAAATGCTCCCCTTTGTAGAGCCAGTGTTTGGTTAGTCCTGTAGAAACATGGCGATACAAACAGCTCGTTCTAAGTAACGACAACACAATGATTCTTATTTTCAGGTGATTATACACTAATGAAAACATACCTATGAATATTATATTCTATTTCTGACAATAGATCCTCCTAAATGGTACACACTTGGACCTTTTAAAGTTCTCAAATGCAGCACAATGTGTTATTACAGAATGTAAAGTCCAACTCTCAAATTCCAAACAACAATACAGGATATGACCTTAAGTGGCCTCAGTGGCAGCTACAGCTTGCTCTCTTTGTGTCTCATCTAACACTGCTAGGTTACAGTAAAGACCCAGCCTCATTGTTCAGTATGCAATGTTTGTTCTTGACCACACCATTTCACACAATTCCATATCTCAAGATCATTAGCCAGGTTAGATAATACGGGAATCAGGCAAGGCCCCATTAGAGTTAACTACCCGGAACCAGTGGATGGAAGGAGTGTGCATAATGCAGACTTATATATGATCCTAGCTTTTGGCGGTTGAGTGGGAAGGCCTATCCGTACCTATATAGCTACCTACCACACTCCATTCCACTGGATCAATAAGCACCGCTGAGTTCCATTAAAATGCAATTGCGCCTTTTAGCCCAAAGGGTGTCTGGCTTGCCACCCGGTTACAAGCAAACTGACGGCTGAAATAATGCAGAGCTGTGAAGGTGAGCAGAAACGGTCAGGCTCATTAATTAAAAGCTGCCACGGGCCACTGAAGATCTTTTCACAGCAGCCGGGGAAAGAGAGAAAAATTATTATTGCAGATATTCATGAGCAGAGTGAGCAGACAGGGTCCTGAAGGGGTGGGGGCGGGGGACATTGTTTGTGTGCCCATTCCTCAGGACCGGCCTTCACTGTGGGTTGTCATCTGATCACCTGACAATAATGTGAGACATTTCATAATTATGACTGGGGTGAGAGCAGAGGGGGGGCTGCCATGCCAACGTGTAAGAAGGATGCTAACAGTACTGATGAAAGAGTTACAGCTGTGGCAGCGAGCAGCTAATGACAAGCAAAGCAGCAGCAGACTGACAGAGAGGGTGAAAGCAGGGCAATGTGCTGAATATTTATGACTTTCAATTATGATTGTTTGTTGGGGCCCAGACTTTCAGAGGATCATGCATTTTTCAGAGGATTGCTGTAACTTTTTAGGGACTGCAACAGGTTATAGTGTCAGGAGAGGGAGTGGGTTGGGGGGAAATGGGTTTTCAAAGTCTCAACAGCAGAGATGAAGTAACAATAATAGACTCTAGACAGGGAGGATGGTGAGGTGGCCCCGGGTTGGGGCTAATACGCACCAGCTCCTGTCAGAGAAGCCTTTCTGCTTTGCCATCCGCTGCCCGCAGAGACACGTCTGAGCTCCTGAGGACCCCCAACTCCACGTTTTTGTCAGCTGGAGATGCGCACTCAGTCTTTCTATCAAAGCCTCTGTTGTCGTGACCCGACACAGCTCCACTGCGGCCGCAGTCTTCCCACGTAATCCGAGATGGCGCAAAAGCACGCACTGTCCCAGTCCCGTTCATCTCCTTCCCGTTCTCCATGCTCTTCTTCTTCTCCTCCCCGGCTTCCAGCGACTTCATGCCGCCGTTGGAGAGCCTCTCGGACAGCTTCCTGGCCCAGTGCGTAAAGTTGATGTCCAGGGAGCCCGCCTTGTCCTCCGCGTACAGCTGCACATTGCCAGTGTACCACAGAACCCACCACACCAAGCTGAGGGAAATAATGACCGAGCCTGTGTAGATGAGGAAATCCCCATAGAAGCGGCCGTCCAGTTTTAGGTTGCCGAAAATCCCGACCAGGAGTACAGCCAGGCCGGCTGCGTCAAAGAGAACGGCGAGGAAGAACAAGGGCGCGCAGTTCCCCACGCAGCTGTGGGCCATACCGGAGGAGAGAGCAGAGCCCGAGTAACGGCGCTGAACGCTTGGACTTGTTTTTCAGGACGCACATTTCCCCACCTTACACCTGTGCGGTGTTCACCTGTGCGCACGCCCCGCCCTCGTTCCACGTCACTGTATCCAGTGGGCACCCAGGGGGATCAGATCAACAT